AATCGACTAAAAAATGCATTTTTTCCATTTTTGTGATGCTTATAACTTTTGAAGGGAAGGTTGTAGAAAGCTCGAAGACGTCTCATTTTATAGAGAATTAGTTGCTCTATAATTCTAGACTGTTAAAACAAGTTTTCTATTGTGAGTTTTCGATGTTTGGGTTTTCCAGAAATCCTATTTTAAGAAAATTCATGACGGTTATCATTTTCTCAAACTATTATTGGCAACAATCCTCTATTCAAATCATTATTTGGATTTTTCTAGCAGTTAAGGCTACGAAAAAAAATTCAAATTACACCTTGTTCAATAATTTTCGGACCCACTGGATAATTACAAAGAGCTAACAAATGTGTCAAACATGAGAAATTGTTTTCAAGTTCTTTAATAGATCATAGATATAAGTTTTTCCTCTTTATATATGATTTAAGTATTGCATTTGTCTATCATATATCAACGGAGTACTACTAACAAGCTAAGATCTCCAATAGATTCCGCATATTTTAATTAATAATAGCTTTTGTCCCATAGTTGTTATTTCAATAGAAATTTGATTCATTCAAATGTATACTTTTGTATGTGATGATGAACCAGCGTTAGTAGCTGAAGAAAAAATGTCAATAAAAATTGATGATAATATTGTAATTGTTGATGAATGAGGAGTGTTAGGCAGGAATATTTGCTGTTCATTATAGAAATGTTGTAGCTAATGAAAAAATTACCGATATGCACCATGTAATCCCTAATAAGCTATGGATATTCTGTATATTAATGCGATGATACTGAATTTTAACTGTATTTTTTAACCTAATATCATAGTGCACATCAGAAACACTACGAAAATTTCTTTTTGTTATTCCTGTTCTAAGATATGGCTATAGTAAAAGTGTATTATATACATTGGTAGATTCGATGTTTTTATTTCAGAATAGAAGTAAATCAAAAAATCTAAAACTTTTACAATAAATTATCCTTATTAAGACTTGACTATACCATTGTGTTAAAAAAATATCGTCAAAATTCAGTATCTCCACAGCAATAACTACGACTCCTGAACTCTTCTCAGGACATTAATTGTTTAGTAGAATATACATAATGCATATAGTTCTGATTCAAAAGTGATTAATAGACTTCTCGTGTAAGAATTAAATTTCCATAGAAATATTCGATCGTATTTTTCATTCTTGATTGATCATACATATGTCAATAAATGATATTTTATTTTCTTTCTAGTTCAAAACAAATAAAAAAATTTATAAACTATTAGAAAAAGTAAGTTCAATTTATTATTTTTGTATGTTTTTTTTTTTTTATTTTAATAATCCAAAAAAAAAGAGATTGTCATAAATTGCATGGAGAGTTTTTATAGTATGTAAAAGATGGCACAATAATAGACAGTAATATTAATATACAAAAAGTTGATACAAAAGCAAAAAAGCGAAAATCACTTATCGATACAAGAGATGAAAGAAATAAGGTATCATATGACGATTAAATGTGCTTACAATGCGCTTGTTGCGTTTTTCTTTGCTCGATGTGTCCTATAAAGAAAAAGAAAAAGAAAAAAAAAAGAACAAATTTTGTTTTTTTTTCCATCTAGGCAGCAAATCCATTAATTGAACAAGTTCAAAATAAAAGTGAAAAATTTCAAACAGCTGTAAGTTAATTTTTTTTTTTTGTGAGAAAAATTCTTCTAGAATTTTTTTTATTTAGATTAATAAAGCTGGACAACGTGTTGCTAGTGAAGCATCATCAGTAAGAAATAATTTAACATCATTCGATGTAAGTTAAATAGATAATGGAGAAAAAAATAATATATTTTGTTTTTTTTTTTTTCTTATTATAATTAGCTTAATGATGTTATTAAACGAGTAAATACTTCTAAAATTCGTGATCCTGTAAGTTATTTAAATTAAAAAAATTTTTTTTTTTTTAATAAGTTTTAATATTATATAAGATTGCATTAAATTATGCTCGTGAAATAAAATCAATTCATCAAGTAAGATTTTATTTTTATTTTTAATTTTAATTTCTTTTAAATTTCTTTATTTTAGTCAAGTTCACCTGATTTACTCAATGAAAAGTAAATAGATTTTAATATATGATGCAAAAGTATTTGGACTCATATCGATCCATATCAGGCCTCGAAACGAGCTACTTGGTCTGACGATTTTATCCTTTTTTGACTCACCCTTTAGGTGGGATCCGGGGAAAGTTTCCGCGCTACCCCGCTCCGGTCATCACTTTTTTCTAAAAGACGAAAAATATGCAATATCTCTCCATTGACTAAAAAAAAAGTCTTTGTAAACAAAATTTTCTTCGGGCGGACCATTAAGAAGTGACCCGATTTCGAGGTCTGATCCGTATTTCTCTTCGATAGAAAGGAATGTTAAAAGAAAACTTTCCCTCAACAAAAGATAGAATTTTTTCCTCTTTCGAATTTATTTTTGTTACAAGTTTATAAACGAGAATGGCATAGTTAGAAATGAATAGATGTTGTATTCGAATTACTAGAGTATTCTGCAATATTACTTCTAAATGAATGTAAAATATTTTTCATCATCGATAGGATCTTTGAAATTGATTCACGAGTTATTAGATTTATTTTGGATCGAAAGTTTATAACAGTTGTTTTCAATTTTTGATTTGAAAGTTTTATTCAACGATTACTCCTTGGTAAAGAATTTAGTTGGTTTACATGTCAAATATTTATATAATAAATTGTTGCTTTTGTAATTCCTTCTTTTTTAATAAAATAATTAACTATCGTTTTACACGAACTTATTTGATAAATCGATATAAAAATTGCAAATTCATTGTGCGAGTATTTCTCTTTCCTTGCATGCTACTTTCTTTATAAATGTATAACAAAATTAAATTTTTACTAAATTCATGTGATTCCAACTAAACAAAAATCTTCGATAGACTGACAATTAATCGAAGGTAGTTTGATACTTAAATGGTTGACTATCCTCTAGTCTAGAGCCTGAAAGCGAATCGAACCAGCTTATTGAAACTGAAAGTGAGTCTAACTGGAAATCTATAATTTCCAACTATGTTTATATTTTATATGTGTTTGCGATTACTTTTGCTACGTTTGTATCACAAGATTCTTCTACTATTTTTCATTCGTCATTTCAATCAAAGTCCAAAAATGAATCGAACATAAAAGTACTGATTCATTTTGGGCTTTACTCTGATCGTTATTCTACTGCACTATACCGATAGTTGTTCTCCAATCAGCAGTATTACGAACAAAATACTCACACAGTCGACAACAACATAGATTTCGTTTTAAGAGTTTGGGACAATGTTAGACCAAGTTTCTGTCATTATCTTTTTATCCAAAAAAACCTACAGAATAAATCATAGAGATCTTACTCTCTCGTTCTAAATGAAAAAATTTATTCTAAGATTTAGACTATTAGAAAAAGTATGCATACTTCACAGAACATTTTCGCTCTGTCTGACATATCTACTCACTTAGCATAAATGCTTTTGGACTAAGATATAGGTTTTTTAAAAGCTTTGCATAGATTCTTTTATCTCAGAAGTACTTTAAGAGAAAAAAAAACAAGAATATGGAATTGGTACAGAAAACTCCATTGAATAATATAACATTTGTTTTATTTTTAAAATAAAAATTTAGAATCCCCTCCCCTCATGAATTTTACATTGAAAATCTTCTATCGAAGAGAAATAATGATTGATATATGGTCCAATTAATTTTGTATTACATATTCTTAGATCTATTCCTTATGGACAAATGCGTTCAAAAGAAGATATTTTCTCTTCGGAACCACGATTAATTAATCAAGATCAAATATCATCTTCATCATCTTCATCATCACCTTCATCAACACCTGAACTTGAACGACATAGAAGTAATCCATTAATAAATTTAGAGATTGATGATAATGATGTATGATTAAATATTTATTTTTGTCTATTGAAAAAATTTTTCTTTTGTTTTATTGATTATTTAGAATCCATTATTACCATCTCCTATTACTCTAAATGTAATTAATACTTCTGTAACACCATCAACTCAACGTCAAACTCCTCAAATTGATTCAAAAATCAAACAATTACAAGATGAACTTCAATATAAAGTTCAAACATTTGATAATAAACGTATTGATCCTCGTAATGAATATGGACAACAACAACAAAAAGAAATAAAAAAACTTGTTGAACAATTTGATCCACTTGATGATTCAAATAAAATAAAAACAAATTCAAATGAATATTTTTCTACAATACCTATACATTTACGTTCGGATGATAAATTATCATCAAATACATCTGATCGTCATCGATCTATTTATGAAACAATACCAACAAATTATGTTAATAATGTTTTACAAAATATACAAACAATATATGGTACAACAAGTCGATCAAATTTACGATCAACATATTCTATACAATCAAAATCACAAGAAAATAATTTTAATCATTTTTCTCCAATGTCAACTGCACCTGCTAATTTATTTCCAACAAAAACATATAAAAATATAACAGATGATGCATCATTAAGTTTTGATCCATTAGCACCATCAAAAGAGAAAATTTTATATCCAAATATTCCATCATCATCATCAACAGCATCAGCAGCATCACAGACAAATGAATCAAATTTAATTGATTTTAATTAATAACTTTCTTTCTTATTTACGCATTTCTGTTGTCTTTTTTTTTTTTCTTTTGTATTTCTAGTGTCTTTCATAATATTATTTGTCGTTTTCTGTCTATACTATCGGTTTATGCTTGAGAATGGTGATAACCAGCGAAGAGTTAATGCAATTATTATTATTATTTTTTTTTTTTTGCTTTATTAATTTTGTGAATTTGTTAGCCAATGTACAAGAAAAAAAAAATTATTCATATCTTACTATTTACTTGTATACCAATTTTTTTTCTTTTATTTCAGACTTCTTGTCTCTTCGATTTCATGTCATTTGAAACAAGCCAAATCAAAACGAAAAAAATAAGAATATCCAATGGATGATTCAATGATTAATTCAATTTTATTACCATCTTCAATTCATCTTGAAAATCTTGAAAAATTAATTAAAAATCTCGAACAACAAACATTTAGTGTAGATAATTTTGAAAATATTTTAAACAATGATAGTAAACAAGAAATAATTACTCAATCATCTTCATCTCTTTCATCAAGTACAGTACCTATTAATGATATATCAAATGAAAATTTTCCTATTAAAAACATCACACTTACCAATGATACTACAACAACTGATCATAATCATGAAAGTTTTTCTATGGATAGTCTTTCAACTCAACGTGATTTATTTAGTAATGATGATTTTACAGAACAACAACTATCAACAACTAATGATCAAAGTTTATGCAATGATCAAGATAGTGGATTTACATGGGATGATCAATATGATACACAAGCCAATTATTGTATAACTTTTAATACTGATAAATCTGAAGAAATCGATACAAAATCAGAAAAATTCTCTCAATATGAACATGAATCAACTAATAAAAAATTAAATTCTGCGTATTCTGACGATGATATACTTTCAAATGTTGTTATCAATAATATGAATGATTGGTCTATGCAATTAGATTTAAATACTTTCGAACAATTAATTAATCAATCACAACAAATTCATTCTCAATATAATCTTTCTTCTTCATCATGTCAACAACAAAATCTAAATAATAATTCATCTATATCATCAACATCATGGCGTCAAATGAAACAAAATCAACGAATCACAACAACAGAAATTAAAAAACGAGAAATTCGATCACTTTCACCAATAAATCTTTATAAAATTTTTCAACAAAAATCTAATACAATTACATCATCATCATCATCTCGAAGTGCTTTTCAATTATATCGACAACAGAATGATTCTATTGCTTCAAATCATATCAATAAAATTCTAATAGAAAAATCAAAACAATTCCAATCTCATCCAACTACAAATCAAGCTATTCAAACATCTATTCTAGCCGATTCTTCATCGAACAGTCAATATCAAACACCACCCGTCATAGGTATATCAACAAAAAAATACTATTAAAAGAATTTTTTTTTTTTGTTTTCTTAGGATCTAAATCTAAATCATATGATAATCTCATTGTACCATTTTCAAATTCATCATCATCATCTATTCATAAATCTTTACCTGATCTTTCTTTTATCTCACAATATTTAAAAGAATTACCTCAAACTTATACAACATCACCTTTATCACGAACATCTTCATCATTTATTAATGTTGCTCGTACAACATCATCTCCAATATTAATTCAACAACAAAAATATGATTCAGATCGACCTCGTACACTTAAATCAATTAAACGATATAAAAATAGTAAACATTCAACTGAACCTATAGGTGTTTTTTATAGTCCACAATTACATAAAACATTTGCTGCTGTACCTGTATCAGCAGTTATTACTGATGCAAATGCATCATCAACAATAATCAAAATGAAATTACCATCATATTCATCACTTCGATCAGAACAACAAATATTAAATCGCAAATCTTGTTTGAAATATCAATCAAGAGCTAATTCTTGTGATATTCAATCTACATTACAAGATAAAAAATTATCATCATTTTCCATTCCTAGATTAATTAATAATAAAGTAAGAATAGACAAATAATCATAATTATACCAATAGAATTTTGTTCCGATATATAGAAAAAAATTTCTTTGTATGTCAATCAATATTTGATTTTTGGATATTAACTCGACATATTACAGGAGAATATGGATTAACTAATATTATCTGGCAGTTTAATGAGGTTTCTATTGCATTTATTTTAAATACTAATAAAAATTTTCATTAATCTTGGCCATTATATTTTATGTTTTGTCTGGCTATAATTAACTAGATTTGCTTTTTTTTTCTCTTTTTATTGACATGAATAATGTTTACAATGAATCTTTTCTTTAATTTCTAGGATTCAAATTTTCCATTATTAAACCAACATTATTCAAAAAATGATACAATTAAATCTTCGAATATTATTTATTTAGATAATTATTCGAATAATTTCAATATTTATCAACGAGAAAATTCATCACGTGAACATCATTCTGAATATGATCTTTCATTATTAATTGAACAAGAAAATCAAACAAAAAAAAGTGTTAGTTTTTCTGAAAATATTTCTAAACAACATCTTATATCATCTTATAATCCAACAATTATATTTAATGAAAATAAAGAAAGATTAACAAAAAGAACAATAATACGATATGATGAAATGCGTCGATGTCAAAGTAAGTTATTTGAGTAGGGTCATCTCATTTTCTTTTTATTTATTTCATTCAAAAGAAACTTAATCCAAACGAGATAATGATTATATACATTGCCATTCGTTATTCATATCTTCTATACTAATCCGATACGATAAAGTCTTGTTGTTCTTATTTTGTAGCTGACATTATTCATATTGATCCTGTTCTTCATCGACATTCGCTTACTGATAGTCCACCAAATGAATTTTGCTTACAACAAGATGAAAATGATAAAATTTTAATGGAAAATTCTCATATAAATATGATTTCAAATGATGATGAAATAGAATCAATAAATACAATTGTTTCACCAAAGATTAATTTAATTGATAAAGAAATTAATTTATCTAATCAATCATTTATTTCAAACAATATATCAATACTTGATGGTATAAATAAAAATTTTTTTTTTATTATTCTAATTCAATAATTTATCTTTGAATTTAGATCTTTTAGAAACAATCATTGATATAATAAAACGTTTATTTGAAATAAAACAATCTGATAAAGTATAAAAAAATTTTTAAATTAAATTTTTTTATTTTTTATTTTTTTTTTTGTAATAGTCATTCTTTCTCAATAATGAAAATAATTTACAATTAGATTCTTTACTTAAAAATGATTTTTGTACAATTATTCAAAATATTCTTGAACATGGTAGAAAAGATTTGAAAAAAATAACTCTATGGAAAATTATTGAAATGTCAATGAATTCAAATAGTACATCTTCATTTTCTTCAAGACAAGTTCCGAAAATTTATTATGAAGCTAAACAAATTGCACAAAATATTTCATCATATTGGTTATACAGATTTCAAGCATTTATTTTCATATTATTAAAGTTCGTTTTGCCTTTTTATTTTTGTGTTTAACAGGATTGAGGGAATTCGAGTCATGACTCGGATTCGAAAGTTGAGTGATGTTGATTCAAGTTATTTATTCATAAAAAGGAAAAACTGATAATTGAACGCAAAAAACAAAAAACTCAGTTTTAGAAGAAATTACTAATTTTCTGCAGGAAGAAAATTTAATCAATGATCTTAATTCATATAAACTTGCTAGAAAAATCATGTATATCTCTGCTATATAAACATCAATTGAAGCCATTTTTAAGGCCTCTCCCCTCAAGAAAAGTTAATTTTCGTCAAAAATTTCGAAATTGAGATAAATGTATGGGAACATAGCCCGTCTTCAGATCTTTCAGAAACGACATTGGCTTTTCTTTGGTATCTCCTTTTTGGCCAAGATTTTTGATGATTTTCATTGACCTCTTCTTGAAAAATATTCTTATTTTTAAAATTATGATTTTTTGATTTTCGTTCCAAGATTTCTCGGTCCTGACCCTTTCAATATATTTAAATTTTTTTTTTGTTTGAAAGAGCGCATCGAGATGCAGGGCAATATAGAGTACTTTTTTTAATTAAGCTTTATTTTCTATTATATAGACAGACACTTATATGACTGGACACCCATCTTTGGCGCATTTTTTCAGTCATTGAACTTGTGAGCCCCTTTCTCCACGAAAAAAGTAAGAATTTAAAAAAAAAGGGTTCTATGCTGCCCTGCATCCTGAGATACTCTTTCAAACAAAAAAAAATTTAAATATGTTGACAGAGCCCGAACCGAGAAATCTTGGAACGAAAATGAGCTATTTTTGACCCTTGTTTTGGTTCATATCACTGTTAAACGTCGGAATATCGAGCTGAAAATTTTACCACAGACTCCTCACTTCATTAAAACTATATACATCATCTAGACTCAAATAAGTTTTGAGTGTCCTGAAAACAGCTCGAATTCTTTGCTTATTGCTACCGACTAGGAACACTGATTTCAGATTTTGAAACTTTGTACAGAGACAAGTCTTTAACGGGTGGTATTTTATTGTGAAAGTTACAAGTCTTTTAATTTGCTTCTTAGAATAGGAACACCAATAAAACATGAAACATTCACAAAGACCTATTCTCATTAAGGACTGTCTCTGTACAAAGTGTCAAATCGAAAATCAGTTTTTCGGATGTACCTAAGGATTACACCACAATATTCATTTTGAAAACTATTGTAAAAGTTCAATATCTCAACAGCAATAAGCTAAGAACCTAATATTCATAGCTCATTTGGTTTTGCATAATATACGTCGTAACAACACTTCCTCCCTTCACTTTATCACAAATTGCATATTAATAATGTCTTCTTCTAATATACGAACTACATCCTTATTGTATTTCTCGAGAGTTATGTAAAAGGATAGTGAATTTTTTTTAATTAAAATTTTTCTTAACTTTTTTCTAGTAAAAATGAATTAATTAATTGGCTTTATTATTTTACAAGACAAAAAGATATTATTCAATATTATTATCAATCACCTAATGCTTTAATTCTTGTTTCAATTCCATCAACATTTAATTTATTTGAACGAATAATGACTCAATTAGAAAAAATAACACCATTTGCATTTCAATTAACATATAATTTACCAAATGATTATATAAAAAATGATGAACAATTAAATACATCTATGATTAGTATGAATTCAACAAAAACAAATGCACGTAATTGGCTTATGTCAATATCACGACGTACTTCAAAACATCTTACACAATCAATTATTCAAGATAATTCAAATGATACATTACGTTCAACATTATCAAAAAAATTTAATTCATTTTTTACTCGAACAAATACACAACAATCACAAAGAAAATTAACATCAATAGTTACAACAAAATTACCAGAATCTAAACAACAACAACAACAACAACAAATTATATCAACAGAACAATTACATCGAACACATTTATCAAATTTATTTACAACTGCTACAACAAATAAACCAATCGTTGTACCAAATGAAAAATTAAATGAATCATCATCTAAACGAATACTTGCAACATTCCAATCGAAAATTTCACGTCCATCATTAAATATTGATACACCTAAATCAACTCGATATCATACTACAGTACCTTTACCGAAATAAATTTTTTTTTTTATTCTTCTGATAATGTAATTCTGTTTTGTTATTATTCTTTATCATTCCATTTAATCTCATGAATTTTTTGTTTTTTTTTTTGTTACTTCCAAAATTTATGGGTTGCTATTCTTACTTTTGTGTTTATCTATGTGAAAATATTCAAATTTTAATAATAATAATAATTCGATATATTACCGTGATTAAAAATTTATTTGTAAAATATTCGAAATAAAAGAAATCGTATGAATAAAATATCTTTATCTAAGGCATGATAAAACTAAAGAGACTTTAGCTGATAGAAATATCCATTGTAGCAGCAGGGTTCCTTAGTCTTCATATCTTCACCTTGAATCTGTGCGTTAATTATATAAAGAACAAATAGAAAAGCAAATGATTTGATTTTTATTTATGTAATCTTCTTTTTCATTTTCATATAAATTCTATGCTTTCAAAATGTTTGTAACCATATATCGCAAATCCAGGATTATCTTGTACTTTGGACTGTTCTATCAGTTGAGTAACGCTTGACTCTGATTGATTGTTGTTATCAGCATACTTTACTATCGTACGCTGAGGCATATTTAAAACAACAAGATTCAATTTAATGTTAATAACAATAACATCCGACTATTAACAACAATTCAATAGGATCGACTGATTTTTTTAACATAGCCCATTAACGACAGAACTATCCAAGCTGGACCTTTGAAGAGATCAGCTATGACCATTTAATTGAATTTTGGTCTAGCTTTAAGTATTTACTAAAAAATCAAATAATGGAATGTCGATCTGAAATTTGTCGATAGATAGGTCTGATGGTTCTCGGAATATCCTGAAAGTTGCAGCAGAAAATCATGTTCTTTTGTCGAGATATTGAATTTTCAAACTCTAAATGGGATCTAGGCAGAAGTAGCAGATTTTCAGATGCGATGAACATCTGCATTCCTCGATAAACAATGTTGTTTTGATAATATTAAAGATACTATTTTCCTCAATACACACGAATTACACTGAATGAAACCAAAAAAATATACACATGATTTTTCTCTTCATCATTTCAAGGAAAATCTTCGAATATTTCTCATTACAATATATTTTTTTGTACTATATATTTTAGATTTTATAATGGCAGAAGGAGATGATCAAACATCGACTATTTCTTCTTCGATAAATAATGATGTTAATGAACAATATCTTGCTAGTTTAATAGAAATGGGTATTGATCAAGAAGCAGCTCGACAGGTTTTATCATTTTTTTAAACTAATTAAAATACTATTTCAAATTTGTATTTTAGGCTTTAAAACTTGTTAACAATCGAAGTTTAGAAGATGCTTTAGCTGTTATTTTTGACGAATCAACTTCGTCTATCAACAACACTAAAGAGCAACGAACAGCGGGTAATCAAACGGACATGACTGCAAATTCTATTTTCCAAAATTCAAATATTGAAGTAAATACACCTATGGTGAGTCTTCCACAAATCAAATCGAATTCTGAGAAAGATCACCGTCAAAAAATTGTTCAGAAATCCCTCTAAATCTTCGTTTTTTCTTTGAAAATAAGCCATTATTTTGTTGCAAAATCAAGGTAATATTCGAAATCACTTCATTGAGCTACATCGAACCATGTATAGTAAAAAAAAAAGCATTTTAAAAAATTGACTTTCTCGATTTAGTAAATATTATGCACAGTTTCAATCAAATTGAATTCAAAATTTCTATTTAGAATACAAATCAAAATGATGATATCGATGAAAGTATAATGACATATAAAATGTTATTTGTTGTTAATGGTTCATTACAAATGAGTTCAGGTAAAATAGCAGCACAAGTTGCACATTGTGCAATAGATTTATATCAAAAATTAATTGAAAAAAATTCAAAATCTTTAAATTATTGGTATGAATATGGTGAAACAAAAATTGTTGTTCGTGGTAAATCAACTGAAGAATTACTTGATATTGAATCTCGTGCTAAAATAAATTCATCTATAATTACATCAATTATTGAAGATGCTGGTCGAACTGAGATCAAAAGTGGTTCAATTACATGTCTTGGTTTATTTGGTACAAATAAACAATTAAATCCAATTACAGGTCATTTAAGATTAATGCAAGATTGTTTAAAATGTAGTGGGAATTAAATATTCAACTAAACAACTACGAAATTTTTATTTTAAAAAGCAAAAAAAAAAAAAAAAAGAACGTTTTGTTGTTATTGTTTTTTGACTAGAAGATTATGAATACGATCGAACAGAAGTAAATAATTGTAGAAGATCAACAGAAAATTGATTTGAAAAAAATTGATTTGAAGTTATATCATTTGTTGTTGATGTTGGTTCATCTTGTTCATGAATATCTTGCAAAAAAAAAATCAATAAATTTTCTTAATTCGAATATTATTTATCAATAAAAAAAACAAACTAACTTTGTAAATTTCGATGAAGTTTTTGATGAGATTTTAAATTACAATGAAGAGAAAATAATTTTCCACATATTTCACATTTATGATCTTTTCGTCCTTTTGAATATGAAAAAAGAATTAATAATAATAAAAAAAAAGAAACGATGAGAAAATACCTGTATGAGTTAATAAATGATTTTTAAGATTTGTTTGTTTTGAAAAACCTTTTGAACATTGATTACAACGAAATGGCCATGTACCTTGATGAATATGTGTATGACCACGAAGATCACCTGGTGTTGCAAATGTCTTATCACAATAAGAACATTTATGAGGTTTTTTCTAGAATATTTATTTATTGAATCAAATTAAAAAAATAAAAATTCTATATACTTTTGTATGTGTCATTCGATGATAATAAAGATTTGAACTTGCCGTAAAACGTTTACCACATACTTCGCATGAATGTGGCTAATAAAAACAAAATAAAATAAGACTTTAAAATGTATTCATTTTAAGTAATATTACTTTTTCTCCACTATGTATTCGACAATGAGTATTTAAAGAAGATGATGTTGAAAATGCTTTTCCACATGTTGGACATACATGCGGTTTTTCACCTGAAATGATAAATTTTAAAAAAAATAGTCATGTACACATGAGCGTTATAGATGTTTGATCGGATAGAGGGCGGTTGTGATGGATCTAAGATTTGAGTGTTTCATAGTCGATTAGAGATTGTGTCCTTTTAAAACCATCACCAGCTTCTTTCGAATGACCCTTGGTTAATACAGCAAGATTTTGATACACAGTTCTAGAAATTTATTTTATTCGATCTGTATGACTATACTTTTGTCATATATATTTGATTCGATTAGTTAGTATCATATGATTGGAGATACATAAAAATCATTCTTTACGATAGAAAGAAAATGCCATATCAGTCTTGTCCGTTCTTTTACAATTTTGTGATTAACTTCTTACCTATTAACTAAATATTTGAAACAAGCAAAATTTAATACATAAAACACTTCTTACTTCTCCTAGATATAAGAAAATAATCTTTATATGCCAAAAGATATAAAATTTAAAATTGTACAAAATTCACATCTGCTCAATCATTTCCTATTCTCTGTTAATGCTTATTAATTTTTAGAAAGCCAATACCAATAGGTAGAGAATTTTGTGACATAGTTGCACAATTAATCATCAGTATTTTTTTGTTCTCTTGACTATCACAGTCAGACGACTAAATAAGTGTTTCTCTTTTAAATTTTGCGCTAATAAAAAAGTTGTTTCAAAAAATAAAGTCAACAATCTTCTAGATCTTGAAATTTTCTATCGTCAGATACACGATTGAATGAGAAAAAATTGTACGAAAATTTAATGTAATTTCTTCTAGGACATCTGGGTAAAACTGATGATACAACATCAAACCCCTTTTTTTCTAATTACTTGTGTAAAATAAAATCTATTGCTTCCTGTAGAAAGTTTAATTTACGCTGCTTATGCTTCAGAGTGAAACGGTCGCCATCTTCTTATGAAATTTTTTTTTGCTTAGCAGAAGCGAAAAATAACAGCTTATTTCTGACTATGATTGCTGTGATTTTCTTACAGGAAAGAAAATTAATGATTTATCACTAATAACTTCTTTCTTTCTGTTTTATGTGTGTATACACATTAACTTCGAATATAGTCGAAATGAAAAGGAATCAATTCTGAAAGGGAGAACACATGAAACAATCATGCGATGATGAAAATCTTTCAATCATCATTGATCAACAATCTAGTGAGTCTTATTTTTCTTCACGTTCGACGGGATGACTCAAACTCGGTAAACGTCTAGTCTCATTCCTTCGCTGGTTTTCTGGATCACTTTTTTTTTTTTGAATAATCTATGAAAATTAATGTTCTCTACAAACCTGTATGAGTTCGTGTATGTCGACTTAAAAGTGAAGGTCGATCAAACATTTTACCACATACATCACATGTCCACGATTTACGTTTACGTCGATTATTGTTTATATAATTACCTGATGATTGAATCTTTGAAAAAGAATCAAGGAAAATTCAAAAAAAAAAAATCTAATTATTATAAACTTACATTTAAATCATTTTCAATTATCTTTTTTTTATTATTAACTGTTGATGATAATAAATTATCAATCATAAATGCTGCTGATCGTGTTGATATGACTGTCATAGTTGTGATCTACTGTTCTTCAAATGTATGATCAGTAAAAATAGACTAGATCAACTTTGATTTTTCAGATTACTTTTTTTTCTTCTTCTTCTTTTGCGCTCTAGCCAATCACAATTTCAAAAAGAAAAAATCAGTTGATTATCCAATGAGAAAGTTCATCGTTTTTTTTTTCTGTCCGATTCTTACAACATTTGTTTCAACAGACGAAAGAATAGCATCCGGTACTTAATTATCAAAATGTTGTTCATTGTATGAGAACAATCCGGATATGCAAAGTGATTTATGAACTCAATTCGAATGAGTTTGTCTATAAGAAAAAAAAAAAATCAGTAAGAATAGATGACGAAAAGCTAAAGAATGTTATTGTATAGACTATTCATTCAATAATAATGATGATAAT